AAAATCGATAAATTCCCAAACCAATTTGAAAATAGAAAACAAATTCAACGTTTTCTTGGATGCTTAAATTATATCAGCGAACAAGGATTTTTAAAAGATTTAGCAAAAGAAAGAAAACATTTACAGAAAAAGATTTCTGACAAAATCCCTTGGTCATGGCATGATCAAGATACAAAAATAGTTTCATTAATGAAGAAAAAATGTCAGCATTTACCAAAATTATATAACCCTTGTGAAAACGATTTTCTAATAATTCAAACGGATGCCTCTAATGACACTTGGGCAGGGTGTATGTTAGCAATACAAAATGGCAAGGAATTATTACAAATGGACAATTTTGGTAATGTCAAAATAGACAATAATGAGGCTACTGTCTCTGGCCAAAAGCCTAAAGATTATCAGTCTCGGACAATATTATTGAACTTTCAAGTTCTCAATCATCAGTTTCTTTCAACAGTGATAAATATTCTAAGAAATTATGTAAATATATTTCTGGAACATTTACCACCACTGAACAGAACCAATCCACGAATTAGAGACACTAGCCTGTCTCAGAACATTGAAAAAATGGAAGCTTGAATTATTATCTACAAGGTTTGAACTTCAAACCGACTCTAAATATGTAACAGGTTTTTGGAGGTACAAGCTTCAGGCAAATTTCAACAAAGGAAGATTAATTAGGTGGCAGCAACAACTTCATTACTACAATTCTTATCTAAAGTATATCAAGTCCAGCAACAATCCATTCACAGACACACTGACTCGAGAATGGAAGGATTCATAAAGACCCTCATCAATCAACTAAAGCAGAAGCAGGAAAAGAGTGCAGCACTGGAACAACAACTTCTCCTTTGCAGGGGGGAGGAAGAAGCAATAATTCAATCAATCGACGTCATTAAGCAACAATTAAAAATCAACTACATCAACATCAGTACATTAACAACTAGCTCCATTAGTGAAAAGCCATCAACACTTACCACAGAACTTGCTGAAAAAGAAAAGTCGACAGCAACATCCACCACTACCAGCAATAATATACAAAAGACGACATGATGGGCAGACATCGTCGAACAAGAAGAAAAAGAAACGAAAGATTCCCACTATGAAGAAGACGACAGAAAAGGCAGCAAATGGTATGTCATATTTAACGGACCATACCGAGGAGTATATCATAACTGGGCCATCGCTAGCCAGCACATCAACGGCAAACCAATCCAACATCAATCATTTAAAACAAAAGAAACAGCCGATGAAGCATATAGACAATCATACAAGGTGATGGCAATGAAAGAACCAGTCAAGAATCAAGAGCAACAATCGCAGAAACTCGTCATGAAGATACCCAGTATCAAGAACATCCTAAACACCAAGGAAAAAGAAGAGCAATTAAAACCAATCTTTCAGAAGTTCATATCCAACTGGGATATGATAATCAACTATGAAGAAAAACACACGACCATGGGTTTCTACCCCGTCAGTCGAGGAGGACCCAAAGCAGTAATCACAGAAGAAGCATCACCAGAACTCTCTTTTGAGTTCCATCAATATGGATTAATCGACACTATCTACACTAAAACCATGAAGGTATTTGAATACTTCCCACAAAGAATGAGGAACGTAATCAGAAGATATCTCGAGCTATTCGCCAAGGAAAGAGAAATATTTCTCAAGTATACAAGCAGCTACCCCGTATTCAATCAAGACAAACTATTGATCGGATCAAAGGCAGTTATCCTCATGGGAGTATCAAATCATGATTACCCTACCAGAGATGACCTACGAGACTATAAGAAGAAACCAGACTACCAAGTAAAGGGTCTTCTTGCAGTATGCAGAGCATTAACCAAAATTGAACCGGAAAGTCAGATTAAAGTCAATTACAGCAGCCCCGATGCCATCATCACCAGCAAAACAAGAGGAAACATGACCAAAGAAGAATGGGTAATCATAACAGATAAAATTAAGGAATTCACAGAAATTAATGGGAATCTATCAGCTCTTCCCATTCAAATCAAGAAACAGTTATGCAATGAGCTTACTATCTATGAAGACCATCTCTGTGAGTGGTGTGCATCAACTGACGAAGACATCAGTGGACCAGCAGACCAAGACTGACAGAAGCATATGAAGAAAAAGGAATCAAACAGAAATGGAATAAAACGACAAGAAAAGGTTGGCCGACTCCTTTAAAAAAGTCGTGCATTATTGTATTTCATCAGCTTTCTTATCGCCTCATGCATTTTCTTTTGACGTGTTAGCTTTACGTCCCTGTTGCACAAACGTAAGCAATGACGTTCTTGTATCTCCTCTTAGCTCTATATAAGAGCAAGAGTTTTCAATGAAATAAGGCAGAACGAGTTTGGCCATAAAAATTGCCTGTTTACTCTCTCCCTCTAGCTAGCTAGTTGTAAGGCTTGGATCCACTGATCCTGGAGGCCACAATCATTCGATATAATCAAACGCACGGAAAGAAGCTACAATCATCAAGCGATCATCAAAAAGCTCAGAGTTTCATCAGAAAAACAAGTCAGGTATGTCTGATAATCCTACCTCAAGTTATTTTGACTATTTAAACAAAAACGATAATGAAAACTACTTCTTAGATGGTGTTATAGACATTAAGAAAATTAGAGAAAAAACTAATTTTACTATTTCAGAAACTCAGAACTTTATCACTAAATCTTTTTTATCAAAGCTCTTTGATAGAGAAAACATTATTAAATATGGTAAAATGATAGGTGAAGTAGCAGTCCCTATTGATCAAACTAAGGGTGATTTCCTAATCCAAGTAATAAACAAAGAACAAATCAGAAAAAGATTAGCTAAACTAAGATCAGAAGAACGAAATAAAATAGCTTATATTCATATTAGTACAATTCATATTATATTAAAATCAACCATGAAAATAGGAATTGATGCACCCATGGAACTAGAAATTCGTGATGATACGCTCCTAAACGAAGAAGAAAGTATTATTGCTAAAGGAACAGGAATTTAGGAGTAGGAATAATTAAATTTGACATTAACCTACAACAAGGATTAAGCCTGGAAGATGGTAATCTTGACTCTTCTATCATTATAAAATACGAATTAAAAAGAGAAAATTTTATGAAAGAAAATAGCAAACCATTTTCAGTAACTTATCAAATAAACTATGCATTAACAAATAGTCACCACAGCTTAACCTTCAAAAATAAAGAAGTAATTACTATAGAAGATTTATTTAAACCTTTAATTCAACTAGAAGCACCATTAAAGACTGTTAAAATAGAACCTAGTCGACCATCGATAACCCAAGATCAAAGACGATTAATTAAAACACAATCAGAGAGAATTAGGCATATCCCAGTAATTGAACAAAATTTAGAATAAGAAGAGATAACTAATAATCAAGTAAATAAATTAATTGAAGAGATAACCAATAATCAAGTAATAAATAAGCTAGAAAAATTGCAACATTCAATAGCAAATCTAGAGAATAAAATCTAAATATGCCTACTAACTATCATATAAATAAATTAATTGAAGGATTAGATGCTATAAATCTCATCTCAATAAATGATATCAGCACAGTCACACAAGAATCGACTTACTTTGCCTCAAAAATTGTAGAAGAACAAATGAGTATTGGAACCACAGAAACATTAGAAGAAACTATCTCTAAAACCGAATCAATTACTGATATAATAACTAGCTTAACCAAAATTAAACAAAGATTACTAAATCAGTAAGTTAAGTAGAAAAACATGGTATCAGAGCCAATCAAACCGATCAACTACCCGAATTATTTAGTTCACAAAGACTTGGGTATTAGTTCATACACTTTTGGATATCAGTTAGTATATACTAACAAAAAGACCAGTTAGCAGATTAGCCGGGTTGCTTTTAAAGGACCCAACTAGTTACTATTACCTGTTGAGCAAAATTTGTCATTAAATATTTGCAGAAAGAAGCCGGATTCGGGTCCAAATTGGGTTAGTAACTGATGGGTCAGTAACCCATCAGTAACCCCTTCCATGGTTCCCACGTGTCAGTCACTTTTTTATTTAAATTAAATGTGAAAAGGGCATTACGGTAAAATTGCACTTTCTCCTATTTATTGCTGAGGCTGACTTTTGACCGTACCACATCAATGCCTCCTTCTCTCTCCTCGCAAAACATTTAATTTTCCTTCCCTTAATCTTTAACGGACGATTTCTCACTCGTTTTAAGTCGATTTTTTTTGCACAGTTAGATCGGATTAATGTGCTCTTCAAAATGATATCCACTTTGATTGCTCCATCCCTAGGAATGGCAATGGGGCAGGTCCGAGGCGGGTATCTCGATACCCATACCCGCCCCATGGCAGGTCGGGTAATTTATCACGGGGCGCGGGTCGGGGCAGGTCGACCCATTGGGTATGTAATTTATGTGAAAAACATTAGAAATATTCGTTCTTTTCATTGAAAGACCAAGAAAGAAACCATAATATGATAAAATGTAGTTAAATTATTGAAGAAATTGAAGTTTTCACTTATTTATAACTTTATTATAGCTAAAATATAATGCAATAAGAAGAAAATCTTAAGTAATTTAACTAATATTATATGTAATTTAGGCAAGAACGGGTAGAGGATGGGGCGGGTCAGGGCAGGTCGGGTCGATGAGAGGTGCCCGCCCGGCGGGGCGGGTTTGACCCGCCCCCTAAACAGGTCAAACAGATCGGATAAATCGGGTCAGATCGAAATTGCCATTCCTATCCATCCCCCAGATCTATGGCTCCCGTATGTTTACTGATAGGTCAGTAACCAGTGGTTACCGACCCTATCCCAAACCGTCGGATTCTGTAATCCCGGCAGAGAGAAATAAGAGATTCACCAACGGCCCCTCGTGATTCGAATATATCGCCAATACAAATTCACGGAGCCATCTGCAAAGGGAGGAGTTTATGCCCCACGATCAACTCTTGAGAGCAGGAAGCGCGTGACTTCACCTCAGTTCCCTTAGCATCCGGACTCACACGCTTTCTGCTAATGGCGCCCACGCGGCATAAAACCACAGAAAATACCTGAAGAAAACCAGCAAAATATTGAAGAATCGAGGACTCCACTCCGACTCCGCTGCTCGTACTTACCTTACCAGTCAGTTACCACTATTTACTTACGTACAAAGACAAACTATGGCGTATCAGAGTTGGATAATATTAATGTAACTTGGATGGATAACTCCCAAATGGCGCGGTTAGTTGTGAGAGGCAGAGTGGGAGCAGAGGAGGACTCGGGCTGTGACTCTGATTTCTCGCTCGCCAACTGAATCCGTCTTTCTCTTCTCTTCTCCTCTCCTATTTCCACCAAACCACAAAGCCATATTCGATTCCTTCTCTGCCCATTCGCTTTCTCCGCAATTATCTTCTCTTCCTGTCTCTCAGTCTCAGAGGTACGTCTCCATTGTCGCCAGACCTTCCTTGCTCTCATGTCGCTGCTCTTCCACTATTCCGCTCCCTTGAGTGGATCGCTGTAAAAACGATTAAGTTTGGAATTGACGCGATTTGCTATTTGGGTGAACATAAAATTTACTCTCGTTAACAGTATGATCACTCAATATTCACAGTGAATGAGTTTCTGGAATTCGAGATTCTCAGTTCCGTTTATTCTTTTTCCACCGTTACCGTGCTCTATTTTTTACCGCTTCTTCTCGTCTCTCCCTCTCGCTATCATAAGCGTTTGTTCTTCACCGAAACGTTTCTGGATTTAGTGAAGAACGCGCACAGGATAGAGTACCGCACCCATTCAATCTTTTCCCCAGAAGAAAGATTTTAAACAGAGATTTGGTGCACGCGTCACGATTCCTCTGTTTTTTTTTTTCTTGCAAATATTTAGCGAGTAGGTGAAGGTAAATTGCCTTCCTTTCCGTTTCACCGATATTACGGAAAGTGCATTGCCTTTCTTTCCAAGGCTGGCTTGTTACAAGATTATGCTCCAAATTCTTTACATCTTAAGCTGGCAACTAATCCGGTGGCAGAACACATTACACCCCGTCACAGTATATCTTGTCTGATACTTTTTCGCTAGTCTGATACCCTCCCTCCACTTGAAGACAAACCCAGATGGAGATGGTTCTCCAGACAATCTTGCCATAGTTTCTTTTTAACGGTTTATGTCTGTAATAGGAACCAATTATGGAGCATGAGGATAACTATACCAAGGATGGAACAGTAGATATCCATGGAAAGCCAGCTAATAAGCTCAAAACTGGCAACTGGAAAGCTTGCCGCTTCATTCTCGGTAATGATTCATTTCCAAACCCATCTTATGGGGGAACTCTTTTGCACCTCAAGGTCGTAACCTTTCCAACCCAGTTCCCGTTGGTTATTTATTTATATACTTACTTACTTACAGGGAACGAATGTTGCGAGAGATTGGCATACTATGGGATGAGTACCAACCTGGTGAACTTCCTTCAAGAACGCCTCAACATGGGTAACGTTGCTGCGTCAGGAACTTGCTACGTCACGCCCTTGATTGGAGCTTTCTTGGCAGATGCCTACTTAGGCAGATTCTGGACAATTGCAGGTTTTGTGATCGTCTACATCTGTGTAAGTAGTGAAAAGTGGGAACTCGATTCAAATTTGCAGCTCTTATGCTGAAAATGAATCCTAAGCTTGGCCTGATCTCAACTGCAGGGAATGTCACTCCTGACAATGTCGTCGGCTGTTCCGGGACTGAGGCCATCTTGCAATGGAGATTCATGCCATGCCACGTCTTCCCAAACTGCGGTGTGCTTCGTGGCGCTTTACCTAATTGCTCTGGGGACTGGTGGGATCAAGCCATGCGTTTCGTCGTTCGGTGCGGATCAGTTCGATGAGAATGACGAATCCGAGAAGAAGAAGAAGAGTTCTTTCTTCAATTGGTTCTACTTCTCTATCAACATCGGTGCCTTGGTTGCTTCCTCGGTGTTGGTGTGGATACAGATGAACGTCGGCTGGGACTGGGGGTTTGGGATTCCGACAGTGGCGATGGCCATTGCTATCGTCTTCTTCTTTGCGGGGAGCAAGATGTACAGGGTTCAGAAACCTGGCGGGAGTCCCCTGACGAGGATTTTCCAGGTCATCGTCGCTTCCTTGAGGAAATTGAACATCCAAGTGCCAGCTGATAAGTCTCTTCTTTACGAGGTTTCTGATTCCGAAAGCTCAATTCAAGGCAGCCGCAGGCTGGAACATACCGACGAGTTCAAGTAAGTAGTACTACAGGGCACAGGCAGCTGGGTAACTATTAGGATTTAGGACATATATAGCCTAAAATGAATCCAATGCGGCACATTATATGGATACGAGCCTAATTAAAGTCGTGCGGTGCCCACTACTATTTCAGCTTCTTTGACAGGGCAGCTGTGGAAACCACAAACGAGGACTTGAAAGGCCTATCGAATCCATGGAGACTCTGCACGGTGACACAAGTGGAAGAACTGAAGTCCATCATCAGGCTGCTACCCGTATGGGCAAGCGGAATCATATTCTCAGCGGTCTACAGCCAAATGAGCACAATGTTCGTTCTGCAGGGCAACACAATGGACCAACACATCGGCCCCAAATTCAAGATCCCATCGGCCTCCCTTTCCCTCTTCGACACCCTCAGCGTCCTCTTCTGGGCTCCCATCTACGACCGCCTGATCGTTCCCGCAGCAAGGAACTTCACCGGCCACCAACATGGGTTCACCCAGTTGCAGAGAATGGGGATCGGGCTCGTCATATCCACGCTTGCCATGGTGGTGGCCGGGTCGCTGGAGGTCGTCCGGCTGCAAATGGTGAGAGGCCATAATTACTACGACCTGGAGACCATACCCATGTCGATTTTCTGGCAGGTGCCGCAGTACTTTCTTGTGGGGTGTGCGGAGGTTTTCACCTTCATTGGGCAGATGGAGTTCTTCTATGATCAGGCGCCGGATGCGATGAGGAGCTTGTGCTCGGCGCTGTCGCTGACGACGGTGGCGCTCGGGAATTACTTGAGTACCTTGCTGGTGACGGTGGTGACGGAAGTGACCACCAAAGGCGGGAAGCTTGGGTGGATTCCTGATAATCTCAACAGGGGTCACTTGGATTACTTTTACTGGCTTTTGGCCATTCTGAGTTTGGTCAACTTTTTTGTTTATCTATGGATTGCTAAGTGGTATACTTATAAGAATGCCACCGGGCGGGCACATTGAAGAAGACAAAGAAGAAGAAGATGAATGCTACCAGAAACTTCTGTTGGTAAGGGTTGATTTGGGTTATGAACAGAGTTGCCACCACATAATTGGTTAAGTTTAGTGAATGTTCATTGCTATTTCTTCCGTTTTTTTTTCTTTTGGTGGAAAGTTTTTCCCCCCGCTCTTCTTCTAGAAAGGTTTAAAACTGATTGTACAGATTATTGTTCAACTTCGTATTGGTAATCTAGGTTTTGTCGCTGGACGTTCTAGTTAGCTAGGAAGTTTTTCTTTTTTCTTCTTCTTTATCTTTCTCTTTTTTTTTATACATCATATTAGATAATTGGCTCGAGTTTTGCGGTGAGTTATAAAATATTGGTGTATTTAGTGTTGCGTCCAATGTAAAAATATGTTTCGATTTGAAGTGGATAGCTTTAGAATTATGATTGATATTTTATGTTTGAGATTAAAATAGCTAATTTATACTCGTGGAGAACAATATGACAAGTGTTAATTTTGTGAAGTTAAGGAAAAAATATTTGTTTCATATCCTTTCAAAAATACCATAACTTAGTGCAAAATAATCAAAAGGAATAACTACGAGAAAGTATAGTTGCTTTGCGACTGATATAGGAATAGGATGTACCACAATCAAAATTTTAGGAGTTAAATTTTTATACCTTGTTTTCTTTTTTGAAGAGTACATTCTTGCTATTTTCATATTGAAACCCTATTGAGAGAGCAAAGTATCAAAACATTCCAATAAACTAGCGTTGAGGCTTGGTTCTAGATATTCACCAACTCGACTTGGCCAATTGTTTGTCTACAGGGCCAGCCTAGTGTTTGGTGATCTTTTGATCCTGTAAGGGTTTGATAGGGCTGGGGTAATTTTTTGGTCCTATAACTCATAGTAATAATTAGTAATTTGAAATTTTTCATACCGATAAATATGACCTGTTTGTAAAGTTTTAAAAGTTTAGGTACTATAATTGCATATGCAAGGCAAAAATATATATAGATACCTCAAAATGTACTTTAGGTACTAAACTATAAGAAAAATAAATTTGGGCACAATAATATAATTTTGAAAAAATCGGTATGTTGATTGATTTTAGCTGAAGCACTGACTCGATCCGATCAGACCCGACCCATGCCAATCAGAAAAGATCAAAAAGGAAACAAGGATGGACAGGAGCACCAATTTTATAAATTTACCATACAGTGACAGGTCCACATGTATGTTAGAAAGTCAAGAGAGGGTATGGCCTAGTTTCAACCCTAAAGAAAACTATTGAAAAGTGAAAACTTGCACGAACCATCTTCTTCTCTCAGCCTGATCAAATGGAGAAATTCCATTTATCTATCCTCTTTGTCGGCTTTGCCTAGTCCATATATCCATCTTTAAGTAAGTCTTACCACAATATTTAGTTATTTACTATCCCTTTTAACAAACTAAAAAAATGGATGTATTGTTTTTGTTTACACCTAAAAAATAATCTTGTACCACATTGATTATTTACAAGGCATTTATTATCTTTATAAGGTCAGATCATTAATGACAATTAATGTTATTTGAACTGGGCCTCATGATAATAATTTTAAGCCCCAAACTACTAACTCTCCAAGTAGGAGCTAGTCTCGTCGCGAGTTGAAAAGCCAGATGTGGTCATGAGATCTAGACCATGTCGGCATCAAATTTAGAGCCCGACGTGGTCATGAGATCTAGACCATGTTGGCATCAAATTTAGATCCCGACGTGGTCATGAGATCTAGACCATGTCGGCATCAAATCTAGCGCTCTACGTGGTCATGATATCTAGACCACGCTGGCTTCAAATCTAGAGCTCTACGTGGTCATGAGATCTAGACCACGTTGGCTTCAAACTTAGAGCTCGACGTGGTTATGAGATTTAGACCACGTTGGCTTCAAACTTAGAGCTCGACGTGGTCGCGAGATCTAGACCACGTCGTGAGACCATGTCCAAGATCTGAGCTAACAAGTTGGAAGTAAGAAGGCAAGTCATATGGGAGAGGCAAGTAACAAGACGACAGTTCCAGGATGAAGAGCAGGCGGTTAATGGAGAAACTGCTGATTATCCCACGTACAATGACATGTCAGCCACGTCCGAGAAAGAAGGGAATCATTTCTTTTTGGAAGTTACTCTAAGACTGTTTTCTACGACGGTTATCATCTCAAGCCTATAAATAGGAGGAGGAGTTGACAGAGAGGAGGTGGGCCAAATTCACACTAGACAACACAATGTCAAATTTTATCCCTTTATCCTTTCCTCTGCAATTTTAGCCGTAGTAGTAGATCTGGAGCTCTCACTGAACCTCCATAGGAGTAGGAGTAACTTAATCTAGATCTGTCTCGAGAGTCGTGTAAGCATCAATCACCCTCATTCGAACTGTGTTTGAAGAGGTGTGAACTGTGTTAAGTTAATCGTTGTCCAAAGAAGTCGAGGTGCATTCAATTCGTTTCAACGCAAGCTTTCTCGCCAGAGAACAGTTTTCCAAAGATGCCCTTTACGTACCTGCAACCACTACCACTAATTTGATGTAATAAGTTAATGTGCTCACGTGGAAAATTCAAATTAATCGAACTTAAGTATGTATATACCATCACAGTGGGAGGGGGAAAATAGGGAAAGAAGGAAAATGAGGGAGGGAGGATTTACCCTCACAAAAGGAGGAAGTGAGGAGGGGGAGCGGGGGAGGAAGTGGGCCTAGTGCTGCTGGGCTGTCTTTTTTAATAAGTTTTTGTTACTTTTATTTTGTTTGATTTTTCCTACACCGTAGATCGTTTTATTTTCAACCTAACGATCATAATTTAATTCCAACGGACATATTTTATAACGTTTGTTGTGATTTTGTCATTAATGACGAAAAAATTATGTCCAAATTAAAAAATATTACAATGCTCATCTTAATTAATTAAAAAAATGATCAAATTATTTATCCACAGGTATGCTAGAAGGTCAGGGTACGGTATGACCTACTTTCAACCCCAAAGGAAACTATGAAAAGTGAAAACTTGCACAAATCATCTTCTTTCACTTGGCTGATCAAATGGAGAAATTACATCTATCTATCCTTCTTGTCAGCTTTGCCTAGTCCATATATCCATATTTAGTTAGGTCTTACCACACTATTTTAACCAAACTAAAAAATGGATGTATTGTTTTCCGAAGATGCCCATTAGGTACTGGCAGCAAGTACCACTAATCAGTAAGTAATAAGTTAATGTGATCACATGGACAATTCAAATTCATTGGACTTATTTACGATAAATAAACGACTCCTACCTTGATTTAACGTGTTTATGATTTAAAATTAGGTGCAATTAAAATATGATAGTGTAATATACAGGAATAAGCTATTTTTTAGAGTAAATATCATTCTTTAGTTGAAGTGAGACATTTGTGATCACTGGTAGACCGTTGTTTATTTTCATGCATCTATACACTAGAGCAGCTAAACACAGTATGAGCGTATGCAAGAATTAATTGTCGACAACTTGCTATTTCAGATCATGTCAATAATCTATGATGACACGCTACAACAAAAAAATGGCTTTTGCGATCAAAAGTTTTGCTACCACATTTACTTTGGTTGTGAAAGACTAGAATTTATAGTCAATTTTATTTATGAAGCTAACAGATTAAAAAAAAAACCTGGTAGCCAATGATGAACAAAGTTCAGATAACAAAATAATTTTACGGTCACCACAATCAATAATTTTGGACACCAATTTATAAGCTTATTTAAATAAAATGTAGAAAAAATAGAGTAGCATAATTCCCTTCAATATTTTTGGGTACTATAAACGACTACCCGTTAAAATTTGGTAGCTATATTGTCAATTATTTTCTTGGTGTTCAATATTATGTTTTATGTACCTATTTTTATTTCAGTGGGTGTGTGTTCCAAGAAAAGGGGTAAGAACGTAAAAAAGAAGATAAAGGAAATAACGATTTAAAAAAGAAGTTGAAATATGTTCACCATTACCGCGAAAAAATCTCTTGGATGTCGTTTGGATGCGTTATTTTGACAGTGTGGTATTTATGAATCAAATAATTCACTATTTTTAAATGTGGTATTTAAAAGAAATTTTCATTTTCAGTGTGTCAATTTGAAATCCACATTCAAGAAAGCCTGCTCATCAAATCCAACCCAATCAAAACAAAAAATCGAAACCCAAATTCAAGAAAGAGAAAGCTATAATTTGCTATTATCGAAAAGCAATAGCGAAAGCTTCAAAGAAAAGAGCAATTAGACAAAGAAAGAGGAGAGGATCCATGCAACCTTAGATTGCTTGATCAAGAACCGACAAAGAAGAGGATCCATGGAATCCAAGATTCAAAGATCCATTCTCGGTCAATGTTCCCATATCCAAGATTCATCGCCAATGAAGCTCAGCCATGGCTGGAAAAATCAAACCCGACGAAGGTAAGCATGTGAATTCACCCGGCAGCAGACTTGTAGGAGCTTATAAACCCGATAATTCTCCCGACTCCTACACCATTATCTATTTCCTTCTCTCCCGCAGCTTCAGTTCAGCGCTGGGCACAATAAAAAGGTCGCCCTAATCTACTCTACTAGCCATCAATCAAATTAAGGTTAGCTGAATGAATACGATCTTATGGTGGACGAGTTGACCATACCTTTGCCATAAGAATGCCTTCCTAGATAGAAGCCGAGATAAAACCTCTTTGTGGACTGTGGGTAGTACCCATTGAAATGAGCTATGTTCTTAATGTCCCAGATATGATACCCTAGATTGAGGTGACTAACATGGGTTTAGGGGATGCGGACTCGGAGGTGTGTGGATAACCACGAAAGCCCACCGAAAAGAGCTCACTCACCACATTTGATAAATCCTACTTATCTAGACATTTGATAATTCCCCAAAGTACCTGTTTTTATCTTTATTTACTCTCTATACTAGTAGCCTAGAGTTTTAATCCTCAAACACAAAACCTTAAACCGATCAGCTAAATAACAACAACATGGGAAGTAGGCTAGGGTACCGGGACCCAAGTGAATACGACCTTGATTGCCACTATATGACAACGCCATTTTAGGTTAAACTTGGCCTAGGATGGGGTAGTTATTGAAACTTGTTGTTTGAGCCAAGATATTCTGACCCCACCGAACGAGACGCATCGAAGCTTCCCTCTGTGTTATAGGCGCCCCGACCCTGCAAAGACCAGCGCCTAGAAGTCTTGGGTCTGCCCGTTAGCACTCCGACGGCCAAGTTAGCAGCAATTATAGAGAGATAAGTGATATAAGTGATTTTAGTGAGAGAAGCCAACCTGCTTAAATTTTACCTACCAAGCACTATTTATACTAGTCGAGCCTCCGACAAGCTCCCGACCAACTTCTG